GGGGGGGGGGGGGGAGTGGAATTCCATAGGCCCCTGCTACCTATTCTGAAGGGCACAGCAGAGGTTGGCATTTGGAGCAAGTTAGGTTGCCAGTCACTCATGACCTTGTCTACTCATGACCTTGTCTCTAAACTCCCAGGGAAGTCTGTTCAGTGCCTTAGGAGTGCTTGAAAAAAAACAAACTCACCAGCAGGTAGGCAATATGCCAAGAAAACATAGTGCAGGCAGGAGGAGGGGGGGGAAGATTTTGAAGCAAGCATGGATGCCAGCTCTGCACTGTTCTTTGGGGAAGATTTTGATGCAAGCATGGATGCCAGCTCTGCACTGTTCTTCAAGCTGGCTAGAGTTTTCAATTAAAATAAAAAGGGAGTGGAGGGGAGGGCACAATATCAAGTTTAAAAATGTACAGTTTCCTAACCAAAGAGGTTTAAAATACTCCACTGAGTACTGGTATTCCTTATACTGTGAAAATTACAGAACGATGATACACAAGGGGAGGTGGGGGGATGGATGAGGTGTTAACATTGACCAACTAATGCCAGCTCTTATTTTGGGTTTTCTAGCCAAGTTTAGCATTAGATGAATTCCAGGATGGGAGCAAACATAGTAAGGTCAACTGTCCTTAAAGAGTCCCAGCTCTGGAGCTGATGCAACCATTGCCTGCTCCTCTGAACCTGAACCCTCTCACCTCTATGATGCATTGCTGTGAATCACCATCTATATCTTGGCAGGAACTGGGCTGCAGGTGAAAACTCCTGACTTCGCAGCCAAGCTCCTGGAGGACGTGACAAGCTAGATCCAATGAGACATGAGTTTGCTACGCCCCAAAAATGCATCTCACGTGCTGATTTGGGAAACACGGCCCCTCCCTGCCAGCATTCCCAGAGAGCCAGTACAGGTGATCTTCAGCTAAGAGATGTGATTGAAACCTTTCCTGTGCTAATGGCTGCCATCCAGTTCCCAAGTATTAATTTGCAAGAGCTACCCTTGCAGATCAGGCTCCTTTACAGGGCTAGGTCAGCTGATCCAGCATGTGCAGGGCATGGCTGGCCGCATCTGGGATGTGTCCTAGAAGGTTCAGCAACTCTAGAAGGAGCCTCAGCTTGCAAAAAAGGTTAGTTCTGCTCCTGCACGTACCATTATGGTCACTAGAGCACTTTTAATGGTTCAGAATCCACAAGAGGCAGCAGTATAGTACCAGTTATGCCACAACCTTAAAACTTAAGAAGCTCAAATACCTCTGTTCCCTACCACACTTCCTAGGCAAGTTATCCACCTGTGCCTCAGTTTTCCCATCTGTAAAATGGAAACAATAGCACAGCCCTGTCCCAGGGGCTTGCAAAGATAAATGCATTAAAAGCACGGGGTACTCACAGCCTATACTGGGGCCACAGGCATGCTGAAGAGTGAAACAAGGTATTTTTTTCTAGTATTCCAATTCCCTAACTGGAACAATAAGCCTTCCTCCATTCTTGAGGAAGACATTTGCTAGTCAAGCTGTGGGTGAATGGAGTCCATCAGAACTCCCTCACTCAGTCTTAAGGGACACTGCATTTGGAGCAGCTCAGTAATGGCTGGAATAATGCATGGTGGCCTGGTCACTGGGGTAGGACACTAGGGTTGCTTTGCAGCTAAAGTAGACTTTAAACAGTAGATCAGGGTGGTCAACAAGTAGCATTGTGTACCACAGGTGGCAAGAGAAGCTTCTGTCTGGAACATAGAAGATAAGGACAGTAGTCAGGGTGGGTGTGGGGTTTAACTTGGGGTACACCTGCCCAGAAGGCTGGTCTCCACTTCCCTAGAGCATATTAGATCACCACACCTGTCCAGGAAAACAGGCAAGGAGGGGAGAGGATGTCACACTAAGCATCTGTGACGTCCTGGCTAAAAGGACAGTACTCAACATATTGGTTTTGAGGTTGCTGCTTCCAGTACCTATAGGCCCACAGCTCAGGAACCTAACAGAGCTCCCAGACGAAGAAACAACCCAAGAACCACACACATTTGAGGGACAGGGCCCATCTCAAGTTACATCCCTATAATTTACAGTAGAGGACAGAATACTCTTGGGAAGCCCGACATACACATAGAGAGAAGGGTTTAATACCATCTACTTTAAGCAATTGGCTTCCATTGCCTAGGAGAGGAGCTTTTGCTTTGACAAAGGCTGTCTCCTGACTGGCCATAGCTGGTCAGCAACCCCCTGAGAAAGTACTACAGTCTGACCTTCAGAGTAAGAACAGCAGAAACTCAGTGCCAAAGGCTCTCACAGCCCCCAAGACACCACCCCTGAAGCCCATGTTACCCATGCCCCTTGCCAGGTATGCAACTCAAGGTCTCGCCCTCTCATCAGAAAGGAAACTTAGACACATAGCCCAAAGGCCACATGCCCAGTTTGGGGCTCACAGGTCCCCAGGACCTTTACCTCTAAGACCATCACTGTTAGGAAGAGAAGGTGCAGGAACCCAGGCTCATCCCATCCTCTAGGCTCCTGCCCAGGGATCTAAGATTCAGCAGCAAAGGCTTGTTTCTACCAAGTCCTTCCCCAGCTCCCTAAGCTGCACCTTACCTGTCCTACTTAGCGGTCTGTCTCCCTACTACTCCTTCCACTACAGCAAATTACCAGCATTAGCCACCCTCCCCATCACTATTCTGCCTGGACTGCAAGTCTTTTATAGCAGCTGGCAGCTTGACTCCAGCTGGGGGGGAAGGATAATGAGGCTTTTCATTAACCCTTTCCAAATTGCTTCTGGGTGAGATGAATTGACCTTCATCATGCTCAGGTTATGGTACTATAGGGTGTACTCTAAGGAGACCTGTGGAACTCCAGCCTGGGACAGACTGAAGCATGCAGGGCAGCGCACTCAGAGCACATCAGAACCATGGTGCAGCTTGGCAGGAGCTCCCATGCACACCACTCCTGCCTGCTCACGCTTGCACACACCAAGCTAGCAAATGAATCCCTCTCCTGGATCTGCTCTTAGGACCTTGGCCTCCAGTGGGCTGGAGTGGGGCTGCTGCAGGCATCCCTGGATTGGCCTCCTCACTGTGTCCTCATTTGGTGCAGGCGTGGGTAGGTGGCATGTGCTCACATATACCCCCTAGACCTGCTAGGGACATCCCCCACTTAGACGAGGGGATAGAGGAGCAGCTACCTCTCTGCTAGTGACCCAAAGGAATCTATCAAAAGAGCTGGTTTGCTCATGATTGCCAAGGTCCAAAATGGGCACCTTCCATCACCACCGCACCAGCACCTTGTTCCCCAAACTCATTCCCCTGCAAACTCCACCCCCACCGCCCCCAAGGAGTGGGAGAGAAGCAGCGGCAGAGCTACTACCGTTTGACCTGAATAATATGCATTGCAGCAGCTCTGGCTTGGCACTGCTACCTGGCACCCAGCGTAACTGCTGCGCAGCTCACCCCCTCACTCCAGCAGCGGACAGATTACAAAACTGGGGCACCCTTGTTTGGCAAATGTTGTACTGCACAAGGCAAAAAGCAGCTGCCGTTCCAGTGGCCTCATGAGCAAGCACTGTGATGGCAAAAGGGGGCAACCGCCACCCGACCTGCCACCTTTCCTTTGCGGTTTCCTTTTGTGACACCCGACTGCTCCAGTTTCAGTCTCTGGTTTCCCCCCACCCCCTCCTCCTGCTTCTGAATTTCCTACAGCAGAGGGGGCTTCGGATTGCAATAGAGAGCTGTCCTATATTTCAACAAGGGAGATGCAGCTACAAAAGGGGGGCGGGGAGGGGGGCTTTCCACCCCAGCATGTGACTGTTCTCCCTCCTGCACAAACACACCTCGTTCTTGAAAGCACCTTGCCCTTTGCAAACACTGCTTTGCAGCCTGCTGGAGCTTTGCAAACACAGGGCTCTAACATCACGTTAAGCCATCACGTTTTCCAGGGCTTGGGTCGTTTTTTGTTTGTTTGTTTTTTTTTGGGGGGGGGGT